AAACATGAAACAGTGATACTAATTCTTGAACTGGATTCTTTTCCAAAAGCGAGTAGAAATTTACCTTTTATTTCAATTATCGATTGGGTGAAACGCATTTGAAACTTCAAGATTTTGTAAAATCATCATATCAAACACTTAACAATCAGGGATACTACTTATTCCGTTAAAATGTCAGCATCTGGCGAAATAGTAGGAAAAAATTTAAAATGAAATGATTCAAAAATAAATCTAATTCATTTTGTAAATAATAAAAAAAAAAAAAAAGATTACGGTGTCGTATCAATCATAAAACTAAAACTAAAACTAAACAGGAATAATGGCTTTCTTCGTCTTGCCCAATCTTGGACTTGAAGGTTTCTTTATATACTAGCGTTACTTCTTTTTGTAAAAGAAATGTATAAACAGGACCCCGAAAATTGATATATAAACGAAAGGGCGTATATATATATATAATTTTATCGTGTAACTCCAATAATTTTAATTTTTTTTCCAACTTTTTATATTCATATATATCCCAATTCGCATCTAAGGTTAATATTGATATAAAAAAAATAAAAAAAAAAGCTTTGAGTAATCATGTCAAAAGATTCTTTGATATGTATCATATTATGGATTTCAATTCAGTTATTTGTTGAAGTGAATGGCCAAATAAATCCATCACTACGAATGCTTCACACCGCTACGCTGGTTGATGAAAAACTATATATTTTAGGTGGACAAAACATAAACAGAAAAGATGAAGACAGTGGAATTATTGGAAAAGAATATTTTTATCTCAATGTTTCCATTCCATTTGACACCAAAAAATTAATTTGGAATGACTTAACAAACATTAACATCATTCCAGCACATGTTGGTGCTGTATCCGCCAAAGGTGGTGTAAATGATGATATAGTTATATATGGAGGAAGAGGTATGCCGTATACAGAAAATTTGGCATCGGTTTATATGTTTGATACGAAAAGTAACCAGTGGAATATCCCCCAAATAATTGGCAATAGTTTTGCCAAAAGGAGAAGTTTATTAGGTTTCATTGATTCTAGCAAGAAACTTTATATGTTTGCCGGGTGGGTGATAAATGGCAATCACGTAAATGACATGATTATCTTGGACACCGTAAATTTAAGTTTCAGAGAAGGAAGTCGATTAAATGCCCCTTCTCCAAGAATTAATTATGCTGGGGTTATCTTACCCAGTCAGAATATTGTTTATATGGGCGGCATGATGTATGACGAGAGTGCTTTAACGTTAAGTGAGGTAAAATTATCAAGTTATCTTTGCAATTTTTGTTTCAAAACGATTGGTCTGATTAGAGAGCAACATTCGTTCCCATAGATTTATCTTTATGACACTGTAAATGATAAATGGAGTACAAGAGTAAGCTTTTAAAGTTGTGATTTTTCTTTTCATGAGTTAACTTGTAACTAATTTGATCGTTACTATAGCAAACTATAGGATCGATACCTTCTAATAGATTTGGTTTGTCAGCTGTTCTTGGTAAGCGTTAAATTTACCGTCATTCGCCTTTTCTTTAAGATCTCGTAATGAAAAAAAAAAAATTTTTTTTTTTTTTTCAAAACAGGATTGGATGGTCAACAAATAATAATTTTTGGAGGAACTAATGGAAATGAGATCAATTCAATCGAATCCCTCTATACTTTAAACCTGAACACATTTGAATGGCGCATTCCAAAGGTTTCTGGAGGCAACCTACCGGCATCAAGATATTATCACAGGGCAAATGTAATTGGAAAATATATGGTTATATCATTTGGTAATTATTATATTTACTTGAAATTGTTTATTAAACTTTATTTAAATTCTTACGATTATTAAAAATTCTTTTTAACAGGAGATGGTTATAAAAGAGAAGTTGAAAATGATATTTTATTGCTTGACATTTACGATAATGAAGAATATATATGGACAACAAATTTTGATCCATCATTCAAGACGCCTGTCATTTCACCATCTTCCCCACCTCCTCCTTCATCTTCATCTTCATCTTCATCATCACCAATACCACAACCTACTCCTCATCCTTCAAACAATTCAGCTATGATTATTGCAATTGTAGGTTCATTATTCGGAGGCGTTTTATTATCAGTTGGAAGTTTCTTTTTGTATAATTGGAATAAAAATAATCGAAGTCGTGCAATACCAACTCCAGGAGAAAATGATAATCAAATATTAATGATTGCTTCCGATAGGAAATGACCTTGATTTTTCTAAGAAATAAACCTATAGCCGGCAAATTACCGGGCGCATCTTTAAAATTTAGGCATATCATTTTTCTTGTAAAATTTTTTTAATCGTTTTTGCCTTTGTTGTTGATAAAATAATAATAATAATATTATTATTAATAATAATAATAATCATCAAAATGTGAATTAATGCGAGTCCAATATAATTGGAAAAAAATTTTACCGAACTCGCTCATCAAATTTTATATTAGAATTAGAACATTCTATAACGATGTCTATATATATAATCTATATAAATAAAATATCAATTAGGTCTAGAAGACCTAGTTGCCGGCATTGTAAAGAAAATCATCCCAGAGAGAAAATTACTTTTTTTATATTAAAATTTATAGTCGTCTATCTACTTTGTATTACAGTATCACATTCTTTTTTAATAATAATTTGTTGATTACTCGTGAAAAAAAAAAAATTTTGTTATGAATATTTATCTTTCATCATGTGCAGAATTATTTTTGATATATATTTTTTTGTTAATCCATAGGAAACCATTGTATTCGCTTTTAAAGATTAACCGCCGATGAATTGCACACAGGCCAATTATTTGAAATTCAACCGTTGAACTCGTGTTGTTTCGTTGTTAATCAGGGAAATTCCTAATATAGGAAAAAAATTCTTTAAAAAAAAAAAAAATGTATATATATAAACGAAAGAGACTTTTTAAAATAACAACATCCTGTTGAAATCGATCATTTTAATTTCCTTTTCATATTTATTTTCTTTACTTTTTTTTTTTTGGCTAAATTATGAATCAACAAGATAACTATGACAATATAAAATCTCATCCACTTAACATAATGGAATATAATGGAGAATCAATTCTTGAAAATTTTAGATTTGTAGAAGGTAGAAGGTTTCATAATGTAGAAGGTGTGGTATATTTTCTGGCAAACGATGAAGAGGAAATTTCAAGATTACAGATGCTACATCATTTATATAAATATATATGGAAAAGTGTTTATTCTTCTCCAATGCATGGAAAACTTGCATCAAGGGGTACTAGAGTATTAGATTCTGGATGTGGTCCAGGATCATGGGTTTTGGATATGGCAAATCATTATGAAAATTCAACTTTTATCGGTGTTGATTTTTCTCCATCAATGTTTCCTTCTCATGTAAATAATAATGTAGCATTTTTAGAAACGAATATTATTAGTGGATTTCCTTTTCCGAATGAAACCTTTGATTTTGTGTATCAAAGGTTGATGTGTTTTGCTTTAACCAAAAAACAATGGCAAGATGTAATCCTTGACATGGTTAGAATTACTAAACCTGGTGGTTGGATTGAATTTATGGTAAGTCCATCAACGCAACTGGAACATTTGTTGATTGGTTGTCCAAATTACCGGTTTTACCATTTTTTACTATACATATAGGAAGTGGATATAGAAGTATATTTTGCTGGTCCTCTTACGAAAAGATTTATGAAATTGTGTATTGTATAGACGATTCTTACATTTTTTTTTTCAAATTAATTAAATTAATTATAGATTGTTAATAATTATTTTTTTTTTAGTTCGTGACCTATTGACTTCACGTGGACTTGATCCATTTATTGCTTCTCGTATTGAAGGTTACTTGCAAGCAACTAACAAAGTTGTTGACGTTCACATCGAAAGTAAAGCAACACCATTAGGTTCACACGGGAAGGGAGTAGGAGAGTTGGTAATTATTATTTTCTTAAAATCCTTGCTTATCAGTCTCATGCGAATCGGACGTTTCTAATGTAATTTGTTACATAGCTTGGAGATGACTTTTGGGTGGCCATATCCCATACCAAAGCATACATATGTAATTTCATGGGTATTCCAATTGAAAAATATGATATTCTTGTAGAAAAAATCAAAAATGAATATGATGAGTATAAATCTTATTCCAAATCATATAGGTAGGCATACATCAAAGAAATTATTTCTATAAAGTTTCTCAGGTTATAATTCTTATTTTTTTTTTTTAGAATTTATGGAAGAAAACGATCACCTTAAGCAAGTTAGAATTAAAAAAAATTATTATTAATATGCAAAATTTTAGGGTTATACCTGTCTTGTTTACATACTTAAGAAACGCCGTAGCGACACGTTTTTTATTTTTATTTACTTGACAGTTTATTACATTATTAAGATTATTAAGATTGTTAAGTTTTATATAAGTACAGAACATTTTTTATATCTATCATTAAGTTAAATTATTAACCATCTTTGCAAGAACTTAAATTATAATTGTCTTTATGTTTGGGTAACTCATTTTTTAATATTTTATGGACAGTCTATTCATTAAATATATTCGACCAAAAAAATAATTCCAAGTATAACCACAAACTTTAAAGTATGACTATATAATTCAATTATGGGGATGAACTAAATGAAAAAATCTTACGCTTTTATCGCAAGTTACATTATAAACGATGAAACAGAAATACCAAAGATATCACCATTGAGGAAAAATTACTTTGCGATCGTTATTAGAAAATGACATTACGAACGACGTGATTGGTTCCATATGTAAATTCAATTATGAGAGTAACTGTTTTTATCGGGCATAGTTCATCGTAACATAATAAATGTTTAGTTACGAGTACTGAAATAAATCTTTAAAATTATTAGGCACATATTAAAAAATTTTTATACTTGATAAAAAAAAGTTCATTCCAAATGTATTGAAACTTTAATAAAGGAATCGTTAAAAAAAAAAAAAATTCATATTGGTTAAAATATTTACGAGATTTATTTTTTTTTTTTAAAAATTAATCCAAAATTCTTGAGGAAATATAGTTCTCATAATATTCCAATGTTCAAAAGCAGATAATTGTTGTAATTCATTCAAAGGATTACGTAAATCTGTAATAATATCAGATACATTCTTAAATTTTGTTAAATCAACTGACCATTGTGTAAAACTTTCCAACATATATTCTCTCATTGCACTATCCATAAAATCTTCTTCCGTGGGATTTCTAAAAGAAATCGGTCTAACGGAAGCAAAAAAGACCTTTAAAATAAATAAAAATAAAAATCGTTGTTAAAATATACTTTGATTAACGATATGTTAGAAAAATGCAATAAATTCAGATACCATATTTTGAAATGATCCTTTTTCTAATGGACCTTCTCTAAAACATTTGTAATATGGAAATACAGATTTAATGGTATTTGCTACTAATGCTAAACTTTCAGCTTGTGGCCATTTATCAGATCCAACAAAATTCTATAAATTCATTTCATTTTATTTTAAAAATTAATGACTCTTTTTTTTCGTTTTTTTTTTAGGAAAAAAAAAAAAAAAACTTACCAAGGCCAAAACACCATTTTTTTTAAGAATTCTCTTGATCTGCTCTAAGGCTTCAATAGAAAATAAAACTGAAGGTACAGAACCTCCAGTGAACACATCATGTAAAACATAATCATAATATCGAGAAGGTGCATTATTTATAAATTTTCTACCATCTTGAATATAAATATTATGTCGACGTTCAAGACCAAAATAATTTACTGCAAGGTTATAAACTACAGGATCCAATTCTACAATATCCAATAAAACATTATGATCCTGCAATGATTTTGCCGATACCCCGATACCTAATCCACTGGTTAAATAGAAAAAAAAAAATATCTCATTATAAATAATTTTTTTTAAAAAATATTTGATTAAATCTTTGAATCATACATTTGAAGAGCTCTTTCTTGTTCAGCATTTTTTTGATTTTCTATTAACCTTACAGCTAAATTATAAAGGAATGATTTTAATGAAATGATATGCCAAATTTTTAAACGATTTGATCAATTGTTGATTCTACCTTCTAAAAAATAAAAAGATCCAAATACCGAATCATTTGTGTCTCTATAAATTCCTCCTATTAAAGAGTGTCCTACACGCATCACACGGATATTTCGAGGTTTTATTTCCTCAACTACTTCAACCCATCCAGTAACTGACTCGTTTCGTGCGAGAATTGTATATTCCGTTCCATTTACAATCGTTTTCTTTATATACATAGATATGTGTATATGTTTTTGCGTTTTCGCAATCAAATTGAAAAGTCTTTTTTTTCGAAAAAAAGTCCACTTTAATAAAAAGTTTAAATTACATACCTGTAAAATTCCAGAATTGCAATGTGGATTGAAATTAGCATTATATATTACAAGGAATACAATAATGATTTGTGGTAATAACAAAAAGCTCGCAGAACGGATTTTAAAAGATAAAGTTGTTTCAACCAATATTTTACGTCTTTGAATGACATCTTCAACTAAATTAATTTCCCCATAATTTTGCAATAAAAATTTAAAGAGAGTACCGATTAAAGCCATTATTAAACCCGAATAACATAACCTATGACAGGTTTGACCCATATCTACAACATTATAAAGAACATAAGTTAACGTTTTAATTATAGTAATATGTATAGCGACGTAGAGAAACCATCTTAAAGTCGGAAGGTTTTGTTCCCTTGATAAACGAGCGCAAGCAATTGTATTAAGGAATCCTAATAAGAGCATTGTTGGATAGGCCAATCCAAGTTGTGTTACGTGAGGTCCAATATATGGTCCAAGTATATCACTAAGACCAAACAACATTTTAATGCTTAATGGAGATAATGCAAGTATAATTCCGCACAAATCAATTCCGAATATTAAAGTTTTGGCTAATTTTTGATCTTTAATTGTTGGAGAAAGCTCCTTCGATTTAACTACAAATCCAATTCCAATCGCAATGCCCAAAAGTATCGAAGCAGAAGCTGCTTGAGAAAAGTAAATTGATGAGAAGACATTTCCATAAATCGGTTCAATATATCGTGGAGATATTTGAAGAGTTGTTGAAGTTAAAATTGGGGTGATTAATAATAAGGTTGTTCTAGGTAATGTCCACAGTTGAGTTATAGAGGAAATATGATCATCATTCACTTGCTTTTCTTTTAAAAGTGATGGTGATGTTGATGATTGTTGTTGAACTTTATGTTGCCGTCGCCTTGACATATTTATTGTAGATACAGAGAGAAAAAAAAAACTTTTTTAATATAAATGTTTGTTTGTAATACAATATGTCGTGTGACTTTAAATGCATAATTCCATCATCAGAGTAACCAGTCAACTTAGATCTGCAATCCTTCACATGGGGTCATATTCAATATCAGTAACGTCTCTTTTAAGAGTCGTTTTAGAGAAAGAGAAGTTACCTGCTACATAAGCAAAGACTACTGTATTATGATAAAAACCTTTTCTCTCCAATATTCACCATATTAACCCCCATAGTATAATACCCTCCCATACTTATACCCGGGTACTATACAAGCTAATCGCATAAAAAAGTAATATATAGAATTTTGAAAAAAATCATGCCAATAATAAAGTTCTGAATATCACCATATTATTTTAAAATAATATTTTGCAAATTTGTAATGTACCCGGGTATTTTAGATGTAACTACCCACACATACAATGATTATAGTTACTGTCGGAATTCAAAAAGGAAATTATAATCAAAAGGTTGCCGTGTTATGTTAGTGGAAATCTATGGATTCAAGCAGGTTAGTGAACGGATCGATGGGTATCGTACAAATTATACTGTTTGAGAAGGAGTGACCACCAGCACTTCCAACAGCAGTGTTCATCAAATTCGAAAATTACAACGGACCCCACTATAACAACCATAGAAGGGGATGATGTTGTTCCGATAACACCTATCAGACGTAGTTGGGAAGGCAAAATTGGACAACCTGTTCTCGACTTCAAGTATCAATATGTCTTGCGTGGGCTATAACGACCCACAAAAGTCAAGGCTTGACCTTGAGAAAGCCAAAATAGACATTGGAAAAAAAAAGAGTTTTCGGCCGGTCTAACATTCGTAGCATTGTCACGGGTTCGTTCACTTAGTGATTTTTGCTTAATACCGTTCACAATCGATAGACTTCAACACATCAAGAACTGTAAAAGAAAGGTCGAAGAACAAAGGCTACGTTCTATGATACCATGACAACGTAAATAAAAATAAAAAAAAAAACCCAGTCCAAAAAAGCGTTGTTTTCACTTTACAATTTGTATTTTTTTTATATGCTTTAAACTTTAACATTATAAAAGGTATGTTCTAGAATATTTGTTTCCAATTTAATGTATTTAAATGAGACGAATATTTATATTTTTTTTTTTTTTTTTTCTTTTTCCCTTCGATTATAAATCAAAAAAAAGCGTGATAAATATCTAAAATTTAAAAGTGTTACAAATATCTATACGAAATATGTTACAATCACGTGAGCTGAATAATTACGGACATTTCTTGTAATATATAGAGTCCTCCGGACTCAATGATATTAGAATTTAATCAGATTTAGCACTCATTTTTTTTTGTATGGTCCATTTTCTCGCATGACTTTCAACGTAAATATAAATGTTAAAAAATTGAGACAATTACAATTATTATTCTAGTTCGTTTATGGTTTAATAGTTGAAGCTATATTGCTAAAGCAATGGTTAAATTTTTATTTTGTCTGTGACCCAGCAATTATGAAATCAGCGAAAATCTGCTATAATTATAATTTTATTGTTTGGATGGAAATTGTTTGGATGGAAAAATAAATAATACCAATGCTAACTAATGCTATGAGAAAAGAAATGATAAAATTTTAAATACAGAAAAAATTTTTTCATAACCTTTTTTTCCGAGGGGGTAAAGTTCCTCAATGTTATATATCTTTAGTGCTTCCTTGTATAACAAGTACGCTAGATGAAATTTGACTAACGAGAAAAGCTTCAGCTATATCACCTAAACATTTCCTTGTGTTATTTCCATAACTCAACCCCAAATTCTTCAACAATTCAATAAATTCTTTTCGGTGATTTATAATCGCGTCGCGACGTCCACGACCTACAACTACCAAATCTTTCTTTGTAACCATCCCCTTGCCATGTTCAATTGCTGTTTGTAGAGGTGTCCCGGAAGACATTTCTCGATAACTAATCTTGGAATTGTTTATTAATAAGCCAGTTCCTACTTTGAATAATTCTGACAGTAACGAGTCATCAGTTTCATCAGATATTTGCCGGTCAAAGTTCGAATTAAGAATATAATTTGAAGCTGTTGAAATTTGATGCGCAAGGGGTGGTCGTTGTACATCGCTTTCGACATCATCATAAACATTAAACTTGTTCACTAGTAAATCTGTCCTCTTTAACGTCGTATCATTATCTGTAGGTTCGCTTGATTTCATTATTCGCTCTACAGTGGCTGTAACATGCGGATGATTTAATAATCTAACAACAAAAGATAAAGCTTCTCTATCATCAACTCCTCCAAAGAAGGGAAGATAAATATGTATAGATGTCCCATTTGAAAGCATATGATCTGCCTTTGGGATGTCTACTCCAAGTCCTCTATCAATTAAAAAGCCGACTGTCACATTGACATCATCGAAAACTCCTTGAGCAAATTGAGCAACTTGTGGACTTGTATCTTTCTTTTCCGAATACTCAATTCTTTCTTCAATGGAATTGGCGGGATCATCAATAATAGTACCCGCACCATTCCACGGTATGATAACCATATCGGATCCTGTTTCTTTAATATTTTCAGCAACTTCTTGCGCAAAGTTTTGAATAGGAACAACCGATAGATTGGCCTTGATATAAACAAAATTCAAATAACCGAACATACGGAATATGTTCATAATCGGATCGTGCAACATTGTTTCTTCGGTTTCATTGAATTTCATCACGGTTGAAAGACGTTGTGTGAGTTCAATAATTCTCAACGCATGGACGATAAATGGTTGATTACGACTTTGATCTACTACGGTTGGTGAATTGATTTGTGGTGTGGTGGATGTACCAATTTCCTGCTCTTCATCTTCTCTATTATTTGTTGTTCTAACAGTTGATTTAGTTGGTTGCAACAATTGTATCAAGGTCATCATGGCTGGTAACCATTCAGCCTGGTTCAGCACTACCAATAAATTTCTGTGTTTGTCGAATAAAGTCTCTCCAGAAACTTTGGGAAGTCTTTTTTCAACTGATGGTTCTTGCTCGGTCCTCTTCATCTCCATCTTTTTTTGATATTCGCTTGAATAAATCCAAGTCGCCAATGGAGATGTTGTGAATGTTGTAAAGATAGCCCTGTTAAGTAAGAATCAAAAAAAAAGTTTATACATGATTTTAGAGTTATAACGTCAACTACTAAAAATTAAAAAAGACTTCGCCTACATTGTAACCATAATAACGAAAATCCTATCATCAATAATCCCCGCATCATATCCGATGTTAAGCACGATCAATTCTACAAGACTTTTTATTATAAAAATATGTTAAAGAGTTTTACATCTAAAATTGAAACTTTTCTATTTGCAAATTGTCGAGAACGTAAGCAAAGCAAAGTTAGACGGTTGGTTAAATAAATTTAAAGACGAACATCTGTCTGCTTACCCTTTGCAACTCATTAAAACTCCAATCGTCAAAGCTTCTCTCCATTGAAACCCGTTAAATCTTGCCATGAGACCGGCTCCAAAAATCTTTCCCATCATTGCACATGTGATAACTATAATAACCCAAAGCCACACTCTTCCATCATTTAATAAACTCAAATTGGTTTTTAACCCTGAAAGAGTAAAATACTATTTCAAACAATTTTTTTTTTAAAAATAAAATAAAATAATAATTAGTTGATATTTGCCAGTGAACCTTTTAAAAAAAACATAAATGAGTGTAATCTTACGATAGGTAAAAATAAGACGTTGATCAAATCCTCAATTTTTTCCGTGATTCTAACAGCGAATCCGCCTTCATGTGGAATGATAACACCCATGATGAAGCCACCAAAGATTGCATGAACTCCAATAACACTAGTCACGAAAGCGGATGCGAGTACAGAGCCTAATGTAATAGCCATCATGATAAGGGTAGGACCATTATCATTGCTACCAGTTTTAACAATAATTTTGAGTAAGATTGGACGAACAATAAAGACAATCACCAAAATCCAGGCAATGCAAAGCAAAAAAACATAGAGAGCCGAAAGGTTATCTGTCGAATGAATCAAAGAAATGACTAATGCTAATAGAATCCACGAGACCACATCGTCATTAACGCTAGCGGTTAATGCAGCGATTCCTACAGGAGTACGAATTAATTGGAGTTCTGATAAAATACGAGCAAGGACGGGAAAAGCCTAAATAAAGAAAGAAACATTAGGAATTTTTTATCTTTCTTTCCAAAATAAAAAGATTTCAATGTAAAAAAAAAAAAAAAATCTTACAGTGATTGACATTGCTACGCCAATAAATAATATAAAACTTGAAAATTTTGCAGTTTTATCAGTGAATTGAGAATATAATCCGAAACCTACAGCAGATCCCAACGCGAAACATGTGATAATACCACCAAACGAAATACTGATGGCGGCTCTTGCATTGTTAATTATCGATCTTGGGTTCATCTCAACTCCAATGAGAAATAGGAAGAAAACCAAACCAAACGTTGCCGCTAGATGAAGCATAGATCTAGATTCTTCGGGGAAAATAGTATCCATATAACCAGGAATTTGACCGAATACTGAAGGACCGAGAATAATCCCACCAATGACTTCAGAAATAACACGAGGTTGACGGAAATGAGATAATGCCACGTTAAGAAGACGTGTTAAAGTAATTATCAATATGACCTGTAATTAAAACAATATAAAGATATTTGATTGAATGAATTTAAAAACATGAATAACACTTATATTACCTGAAGAACAAAAAGGGGAATAGGATTTTCGGGATTATACGCTGTGGGTATTTCACCCGATAAAATGCCACCTTCACCCATTCTTTTTAGATTGACACGTGATCAAGTTCAAAAATGGGAAACCTTTATTATATTATATATATGTCGAGATGATGAGGTTTTATTTTTTTCTTATGGATTTGAAAATTGCTTTAACGTGGAATTTACCATACTTAGATAAAAATTTTAGAAACGATACTCCTTTCACAAATTAGTTGATTTTATTAATAATTTTTGATGGAATTCTTGATATGAATTGTGCCGCAGTTATCACAATGTTTTTGGACGGGGTCAAAAATCGATGAAAGAATTTGAGCTTAAATATGTTCAATTTATAAAAAAGATTTTGAAATTTAGAAATATCGTCGATATGACATCACATATGCATCATCTACATTTTCCCAAGATCATTTGACCTGGGCTGGGGAACCCTCTTGTCCTTACAAACATAACCTTATTTTTAAATTAAAAATAACTGACGAAATGGGAAATTGGTTGAATATTGGATCATCGAGAAAGAAAATAGTTAGTTACACACATTACCCGTGTCAAATAACCATAAAACAAATTTATCTTCAATGTTACACGAATTAAATAAATTCTTATTTCCATCTATATTTCAATGAAATTTAAACATCCTAAATCGGTCTTACCAATCCGAAAATTTATTTCCTCTTTGTGACGTCAAAATTCGTAAAAATGTCGCTGTTATCGTTGGATACGGTGGTTACAGTTTTCACACTAATTATCATTTCTTATGTATCATATTACTATTACAAATACTTTACAAAAAGCAATACATTAATTGGAAATATTCATAGATACGGCATCATCTACAAAATCATCATTTAAAATTAGATCCGTTAACGAAGGATTTGATGAGCTTGGTTTTACATCAAAATGGTATCGTTTTTAATGGATTTGACACAGAGGTTGATGGTACCATCAATCCAAAAATAAAATTGATTCATTGACGTGATAAGAAATTTGCTACATGCATTTCACTTTTTTTATTTCATACCAAATTTAAGGAATCCATTTATGTTTTATCGAAAAAGAAAATTGATTGGACGAAGAATGAAATCTTAAAGCTTGTAAGAGAGGCCAGAAATGAGATAAAGGAGGGGGACAGAACTTTAAACTCTAATCTACGTTCCATTAACTGACGTATAACAATTTTGAAGTATTGTCTGTGGAATTGATACATCGGGCAATAGTTTATGTTTTATAATTTATAACCTGAGTAAACATCCTCAATATAAACAACGGTTTTATTGAAGAAATTGATGGTTTATTAGGTCCACCAATTTTACGATCGAGAAACATTCACTTACCTTGGAAGAATTCTTCTGTGAATCATTGTTCTGAATTAAATGTTCACATCACGAAAAGAAAGGCTTAAAGAAATAGTGTTCTTTTATCACGCATTTTATTACATAATGTTTTTTAATTTTAATTTAAATATTTGAGTCGGTCAAGTTAATTCTAATAATCAAGTCACATGTTGCATTACGTAAACCTAAATTTCTTGGGAACCAATCATTTACGTCCAAATGGAGGACTTTAGGGGAAAAAAATATCCTCAAAGAGAAAATATATGTCTAATTCCTATTCACGATCGTCGATGCATGATTCTGAAAATCATGGGATAAACATGTGAAAAGCTAAAATTTAATATACCAAAAATTTTGCTAAATTAATTTTTTTTTTTTTTTTTTTTATATATAAAAACCTATTCCTGAAATATATTTTTTTTTCTCTCCCCTTTTTTTATTTTAACCAAAGTATTAAATTTTTTTTTTTTAACAACATGGATCCTAACTACAGTGATCAAATCATACTTGGTAAATATTTTTATAGATTGACAAAGCGAATTGAACGAATTGATCGATAATTAATTCTTTTGTGATAATAAAATGATCTTAGAAATTGTTAGGGATCTTTTTTCTTATGATGAAGCAGCACATAAAAGAGTATTAGATCATTATTTCACTGATGACGCAGTTTTATCCCATCCATTCTTGACCGTTGATGGGACCCATAATATCCGTAAGGTTTTTCGTGTTTGGACTACTTTCAATCAACAAGAACCTGAATTTAAAATTAAAGAGGATGTAGTTTTTGAGTATGTTTGCCTTTAATTGTTTATATAATATATCTTTTTCACAAAACGTTGAAATTTGGGCTTCGATTAAAAATAACTTACATTTGTAGTGGAGTCACAGCCGTGATTTCCGTTAAGCAACATTTACGTCCAAGTATATTTCCCTTAATCCATTTTGCCGTACCTGCTATAACGACACTTAGGTTTCGTCAAGAATCAGATAAATTGCTCTACATTTATAGACAAGAAGATAATTGGACCCTTGAAGGACTTATTCAAAGTGTTCCTTTAGTCAATTGGTTTTATGAAAATCTCATTCGTAAGCTAGTTGTTGGACGTTTAATTATCGGGACTGGTTCTTTAATCTCTTCTGCTAAATCCTACATGAAGTAATCCCCTTATTATAGATCTTAAATTTCTGGTTTTATTTTATTTATTTAATTTTTTTTTTTTATTTTTTTTTTTATTTATTTTTTTTGAGAAAATGATAATTGCGTTGAACTTTTCGTTAAATAATTTGTGTAAATTTTTATTTTAATACATAAAAACCACGACAGCGTCAGTGGTTAATATTCAACAAAAAAATAAATTTCCCTGTACATGAGAAATTCTTATTTCCTGTGTTATCATTTATAATAATACAAATTTGTCATTGTTCGTTGGTTACATTTTTGATCATTGGATCATCTGGCCGAATTAAGCTTTTGTCAGTAAACTGATCTGTGCTGTGTCACACTGTGTAATAACGAAGTTATTTATATCCGTAATGTGATGTGTTTTGAACATCACTAATTTTGTACCTTGTTTTCAAACATTAAGCCTCATACATAAATTTTGACTTTTAAATTCATTCAGTTGTTCTTTTCCTCAAAGTCCGCTGTTGAACTTAATATCAAATTCAAAAGTTTCTTTGATATTGATAATTTTTAACGCAAAGATGCAAGATATTGATATTGGAACGGATTTTAGTCCTTATGAACCTTATACTCACCGTTTACGTAAAATTCTTGAGGAAGAATATCCTGATGGTTCACAAGTTATTCGTGAAATTCTTCAGAATTCTGATGATGCCGGGAGCACTGAGCAAACCTTCATTTTGGATCATAATACTTATCCATCGAACAGCTTGTTTAAAGCTACCTTTAAAAATTATCAACGACCAAATTTGAAACTTGATAGACATCAAGGTCCAGCATTGTTGGCAAAAAATACCACTACCTTTGGAGATAGGGATTTTCAATCTTTGTTGAAATTGGCCGATAGTGAAAAACGCGATCAATATGATAAAATTGGAGGTAAAAAAATTTTTTTTCTTCCGTTTATTATATTTCGCGCAGTATTAATTTTTTTTTTATTTTTTTATTTAGTGATGGGTGTCGGTTTCAATTCAATTTATCATATTACTGATTCCCCTTCTTTCATCACTGGTGATAAATACATTATTCTTGATCCACATAAATGGTGTTTTAATGGTGGCATCAAATTCGAATTTATCGCAAATAAATTGTCAGACAAATATCCTGATCAATTTGCCCCTTTTAATATCCCATGTGATAAACCATTTGACGGCACCATATTTCGTTATCCTCTCCGTACTAAAGAGGATTCTGCGGATTCGGAAATTTCTGACAAAATTTATCAACCTGAAGAAATCTTGGATATGTTTCATAAATTTTACGAACATGAAAGCATTAATTGCTTACTATTTTTAAAATATATTGAACGTATTTCTTTTTACGAATTAAAAAAGGGCGCCTCTGAACTTGAATTGCTATATACCATTCAACTGGAAAATGCTGACAAGATTCGAAAACAACGTTGTCTGATTGCGGAGAAGATTGGACCAATGATGGACGAATTAAGATTGGGTAAACTTAAAAGCAAAAATCAATTAGTTGCATCTTACGTTGCATCATTCTGCCGTCAAAAAAAAACTGATCCTAAAAAGCATAGTTCATGGTTAATTTTGAATTACCTTGATGATTTACTCGAAACGGAAGGATATTTTCAGGAAAACTTTAAAAAAAATATAAGGGATCACAAGTTTATCCCTAACGTTGGCTTAGCCATTCCTTTTAACGATTTAAAAGATGAGGGAAAATTATTTTGCTTTTTACCCCTTCCCATCCCTATGCCTTTTCCTGTTTCCGTGCATGGATATTTCGCGGTAAGGTTTTGATATGGTTACATGATCACTATGATTTCTAATACTAAATTTATTTTATCTTATTTTTTTCTTTTACTTTTTCTAATAGGTTAATACTAGTCGACGTTCTTTATGGTCGGTTGCGGAGAATGAAGATTTGGTAATTAAATCTTTTTTATCATATTATTTTCATAAACGTAAAAACTAAAAACACTATTATGGAAATATAGGCGGTTGGTGCATTAGCAAGCACGAAAGTGTCATGGAATCAATATTTATTTGAAAAGGTATTACCCAAAGCTTGGGTAAAATTTCTTTGCGAGATTTTTCTTAACGTTCCTAATATTCAGTCTGAAGATATATCTAAATTCTGGCCAATAATTAAAAGAGGCACATCAAGTGTCACGTATACTTTTTGCAAGGATCTATTGCAAAATGTCATAGAAAATCTTGGTGTTGATGATCATGTGTTCAAAGGACCTCCTTCCATTGGAACATTACCTGAAGTTTTAGCAAATTCATATGATGCTTCCTCATTCAAAGGATCCCAATTTTATTGGTTATCAATTTCTAATGGATATTTGGAAGATGAGAAATCATATAATTCTTTGACTGAAATAATTAGAAATATTGGATTCCCTGTTATGTCAGCATCTCCTCTCATAATTGAAGCCTTGAAAAATTCTAAGCATAAATACTCGCTTAAATTTTTTTCTCCCACCATTATTCGTAATTATTTAAAACATAATCGTGATAGATGGCAGGATAAGTTGTCAAGAAGCGACGTTTTACTATTATTTGAGTATGTATTAAAGGACAAAAATTTTGAAGATTTGGAAGGTTTTAAAATGATTCCGCTCGCGGATGGTACGTTTGGTACTTTGCAATTCGACGATTCTTGTGTATATATTGTTCCCAATAGAGACCATGAGGATGATGAACTTAACCTTTTCGAAAATCAATTGAACAAATTTATTGATAAATCGATTGGTTACGAATTGTATATGAGTTTGTACAGGTATGCAGAGGCTGGATGGAAACTCAATATTAAGGTCTTGGATGAAAATGTCGTTGCCAATATGATTAAAACATCGTTGAATTTTGCGGAAAATGCAAATTCTGAAGAGATACCAATGTCAAATCATCGTGAATGGATTTATAAATTATGGAATAACCTGAGAAATAGAAATTGGGATTTGAGAAGATTTGAGAACGTTCATTTGATTCCAACAAGTCGCTCTTTTCTCAGAAAGTTATGTACTCCTAAAAAGATTTTTTCCGCTCGAACGACTTTAACTTTTAATTTTGAAAAGTTTGGTACCGTTTTCATTGAAGATGAATTTGAAGAAATTGCCGAATGGAATAAGTAAATACTACTGAATTTAAACTACCTTGCATTATGATTTAAATTTAAACAAACTAAATACCATTTCTACTTATTGTTTTTATTTATTAACTTTATTAGGTTATCTCCATATATTATGAAGCCTAACAATATTATATCGGTTCTAAATTCTCTCAAAGTCGATAATTCATTTCCAGAAAATGTAAATCACACGTTACACGTTGACGATGTATCGGCGCTCGTTGAATATTTATCAAATAATTTACGATTTGTTAATAAGAAGGACCTGGTGCAGAATCTTGTTAAAGTTATTAAGCATCTTCCGATTTTTACCAAAGTTGATCATACTTCACCAGTTCCGTTGTCGCCTGGAAATACCAATTGGTATCTTCTTCCTCGTAACGAAGAAAATTCATATGGTAAAATTATCTGTCCAAGCAATAAAGGAGAATTTCTTAGTACAAGTTCACAAAATTTACGTTATATACTGGAAGATATTATTAAGATTCCACGATTAACTTCACAGATTTATTGGCAAAAATATGTAATACCGTATCTCGGGTCACAACCGCGAGAAGTCTTAGACACAGTAATCGATATTCTTTTTGATATGTTACCATCCTTACATGATGATGCAAATTTAAAAGTTGCTCTTATAAAAACTTCTTTTGTACCTGTTGGTACACGTCAAATGTCGCAGCATCAACAATTGCCTGCTATAATAGAGTTAGAAAAACCAACAGGATTATTTGATCCAGAAGTAAAGGCTGTGGCTTGTCTGTTTTTTGAAGACGAACGAGTCTTTCCTGCTGGCAAATATTCGTCTTCTAAAAAGTTCCTAACGGGTTTGAGATTATTAGGATTGAAAACATCCCTTTCTTCAAATGATGTGATTAATCGAATTGATGCTATTGTGGAACGAAAAAAGTCTAACGTTCAAGATGATTTAATTTATTACAATGCACTTAGACTTTTCGAATATATTGACAATAATTGGGATCAGTTAAATAACTCATTATTGAATACAATTTTAAAACAAGAATGGATCCCTACGGTTGATAAATCCGGAAAGAAATTCTTCTCGAAACCTCAGGATTGTTATTGTCAAAAGGATAAAGATTTAGTTTGTCTATTTGCTCCAATACTTGAATATGAGGTTAAGAACAACAAATTTTTAAAAGATTTGAAATGGAATACATATCCCGATTTTGAAAAAGTTATAAAACAGTATGAATTATGTTACGATGGGGTATCTAAAATGCAACCACCAAAGAATTTGGAAAAGATTTGTTACGCGATTTACAAATATATGAATGAAATTTGTCCAGCAAATAATAAGAATTCAAAGGAAGATTTCAATAAGATGAAGACGTTTTTGGAAAACAAACCGTGGATTTTGTATAGGAAGACATTTTATTCGGTTGATCAAGTTGTATTTCGTCTTCAAAAAGAATTTCAAGTTGAAAATTTCTTAATCGTTGAACTTCCAATAGGATATACAAGTGAATTCATGACTTTATTTAAAACTATGGGAGTTCGAGAAGAGGTCGGAATCAAGGACTTGATATTGATTATTAAGAATATAAGTATAGAAAATATAAACAAGAAATTATCAGAAGACGATATCTTTCAAATATTTCAAATACTTGAACAAATTTCCAAAATACAGAGAGGTGCTAGGAGAGGGGGAAATAATCCGGAAAACTTGGATGGATTATTAATTCCAAGTAACAATAATGAACTTGTGAACTTGCATGAAATTTATTTTAATGAAATGGGAGATAGAATTGACGAAAAAGAGAAGAGTGAATATATAATTACTCATGACCTTATAACCCAGGACGTCGCCAAAGAATTGGAAATTCAACATTTAGCAGGAAAAATCTATGGTAAATACAGTATATAGTTGTGTTTTAAAATCATGTTTACATTTATCTAATTTCAACTTTAATCTTATTACTAGGTATAAATTACGGAGATATTAATTGGGAGCCATATGAACAAGGTGAAAAATTAACTACCAGAATAAAAAACATCATTAAGGTAACATTCGATTTTAATGGTTTATTCATTATCCGTAAATTTTTAAAATTGTTAAATTATTATAATGTTATTAGGATTATCAATTGAGTCGATTGTTTGCAGAATTTCTTCAAGTAAGTAAAGTAGTTTACAATCCTTTCAAATAATGATTATTCTAAATGGTTTCTACAATGTAGAATGCGGATGATGCTAAAGCCACACGGTTTTCAGTAATAGTAGACGAAAGACCAAAGTTTCAACACGAAGCTTCTAAAAAATCTTTATTGTCAGACGAAATGGATGGTTGGCAAGGTCCTGCAATATGGATATATAACGATGCTGTATTTTCTGAGGATGACTTTCAGGCTTTGATTAAACTCGGAGTTGGAGGAAAATCTCAAGATAACAATAAAATTGGAAGGTTTGGGTTGGGATTCAATTGTGCTTTTCATATTACAGATTTACCAAGCCTTGTAAGTGGAAAGCATATTGTATTCCTAGATCCACATGCAAAATTTCTTCCATCAATAGGGTACCCTCCCATAAAACGAAAGGGCTTTCGAATTAACTTTATTGAAAAGCTATTTAAGAGGAGATTTCCAGATCAATGTTATCCTTACGAGGCGATAGAGGGTTGCGATTTCTCAAAAGAATTCAAAGGAACATTATTCAGACTTCCACTTAGAACGGAAAAAAGTGAAATTTCGAATCGTATTATAGAAATAAAAGAAATTTTGCAATTATTTGATAGTGTCCAGGGTAATAAAGAGATGATCTTTTTAAGGAATATAGAATCATTTAATCTATATAGTATGAATGAACAAAAACAAGCTCCTCAACTAATTTGGCAAGCGCACATTACGATAAGTAATAATCATCGCGAGATTCGTAAAAAAGTAACTGATGAATTTCAGATATATCAGATTGCGTTAGATATTAAAAAATTTGATGAAACAGAAAACGAGAATGTTTTGGAAATATGGGCACTTTGTACAGGAGGACATGAAGAAATCAATTCAGAATTTGAAAATTTCTCGAACGAAAATCATCTCAAGGTAATCAGAGAATTTTATAATTATTTCAAAATATAAATAGTACTTGAATAACCCATTAAATAAATTCAATTTCCATTAATAAAGCCGATAGGTGGGGTTGCTTTATTGCTCGCTAGGTCTAATGAAAAATCTTTGAAAGAACTATCTTCTGAATTGGTAAAGTATTTATTATTTACCGGTATTCTGCAATTTGTAATTTTGATTATTAATGTATGAAAAAAATTTTTAATTTATGCATTGCAGTTTCCAAATCCTCCCAATCTCGAAGGCGAAATCTTTTCATACTTATCTTTATCAATAGTTACCAATTTGGGTGTCCATTTAAATGGAAATTTTTCTTTATCTAGTTCAAGAAGTAATGTTCTACAGTCCGAGAAAGATTTCTTGCAAGCTGATTGTATTGACGCGAAATGGAATCAATATATCCTAAATGAAGTTTTGCCTGATTTGCATGCTAACCTAATAGGACGTATTGTAGAGCTTGAAGAAGCTAGACGCAAGAAATTTATTACAGATTTCACGCCAAACACTTTAAAACATTATTGGCCAATCAAGAACAAATTAACTATGGGATTTTATAAAGATTACGGATTAAAAGTTATTATAAAGCTATGTCTTGGTGAGCATAGAATTTTCTGGACTGAAGCTGATGGCGGGAAATTTGTTTCATTACAAACGGTTAAAATTTTTGAGGGAAAAGAACCAAAAATTGTGGATGTATTGACCAAGATAGGAGTACCAGCAGTGAAACTTGAAGATGACAAGCTTGATCTACTTAAGTCTGCTAGATCTAATAATCTTTTAAATTACTCACATGTCAGTGGACAATTGGCTTGCGTGGAATTACAAAAGAAATTTTTACCCTCAAACTCTGAGAATGTGAACGATATTTTTCAGGATCACGATTTATTATTCAAATTTCTCGAGTTTATTTTTATTCAGGATAAATGTTTTGACAATCTTGATGGATTGCCATTAATTCCGTTGAGTGATGGTTCTATTGGAAAAATTGGTGAAGTTTATTACATTGGTAAACCAAAAGTTCAAAAATTGTTCCCGAAAGTTGGTCCATCAAGATTCGTCTCGGGTAAATTACCAAAAGAACTCGTGAATATTATTAGATCGAATCATTTTCCCATATTTAAACAAATTAAAGAGGTTGACGCCAATGCCGTTTTGGATCTTTTGTCGTTAATGTATCCAAATCTAGAGGATGAATGGGATTGGAATCCTGATTCAAATGAAATACCAAATGGGACATGGCTCGGTGAAATCTGGTTAAAATTTAATTCAGCCAAATATATCGACTTTGAAAAGCTTTCGAAATTTCCCCTTTTACCAATTATAAAACCTTACCAAAAGCTCGTTCGACCTGACAGCGAAAACCCACCTTTATATATACCTGAAAATGGACATATTTTATATCACATATTAGTTAAGCTCAAATTACGGTTCACTGATATGAATATTGTTCATAAAGACCTCTATAGATGTGTATTGCAATGCACTCCAATAAATATTATTAATTCCTTGGGAATGACGCGCGTTAAACTTAATTTAACCATGGACGAATTATTCGAAGGTGGTAATCTTTCACTGAAAGAATATAAAAGATTTAGAACATTTATCAACATGAATCTTGAAGAGTTATTAAGTAAGTGAATAATTAAATTTATGTGTATTATAATTATAATAATTGCAATTTAACGTTTGTACATTTTATTTATTAGAATATGGCGAAAAACAAAAAAAATTTATGAAAATTCTTCGTTCTTTGCCAATATGGCCAGTACACTCTTGCGACAAGTTTATCAGTGCCAAATCAGGAATTCTCATTCCCTATAATCTTCCAGTCTTTACTTTTCAACAAGATATTGATTTCTACGAGTGTGATGAACTTGATTATAATACGCTCTTTAACTTAAATGACGAACCCATGAGTGATTTAGAGTATATTAAATTTATTTTCGAACACGAACATTTCCAATATTACATGAAACCAGTTCCCCAAGTATATATAAATTTCTTGCAGAATATTTTATTCTCGGAGAATCGTGAAATTGAGAAATATTTTAAAACAAGACCAATAATCCCTAATAATTCACTCAATGCTTTGGTGAAGGCTAGTGATTTATATGATAGATCAGTTCCTTTGTTCAACAAAGTTTTCGAAGATACTGAAAAACTTATACCAACAGAATTACATGACCTCGTTTATCTCGAAGCTCTTGGAAGAATTGGCCTTAAGCGCCATGTGAATGGTAATACTTTCATTGAATGCGTACAAGAGATTGAATCACAAATCCGACGAGATAAATCTTTGATTAAAGTTAAAGATCGAGCAACGTATGTAGTCGAGTATTTATACATGCACTTTGAGAAACTAAGTTTCCCAAAAGTTCAATGGGAAAAAATTAAAAATATTAAATTCATCCCATCAGAAAATCTTCAAAATTCATTTTATGAGGAGGCGAAAGAAACTTTGGGATTTGAAAGTTTTGCGGTACTTTGCTCACAGAGATATAAGGAAGTATGTTGGACACAAAGACCTTTATTTGAACAAACCGTTGAGCCCACTCATTTTTTCAATAAACGTTTTCCAGAAATTGGACATCCATCTATTGATGACATCATTGAACATTGGTTCGTCGTTGTGAATAATATACCCAAATCAAAGTTATGGAGATCTCGCGAAAGGTTTAGAGAAGAGGTAAAACGTATAATCAAAGAAATTTATAAAGTTATGAATATGTATTCACAAGTTAAAAGAGAAGAAGAGTATATCAAATCGAAAATTAATGTTCATGAGAAGAAGCTATTCTTGAATGGGGAAGATGCATTTAATGTAAAAAATTGGGTAGAAGGAAAGAAACTTGCATTTAATTTACAAGACAATAATAAAGGGGGAACTCATGAAAAAGTCGAAGATTGTTTAATGCCTTACAGGGATTTATTAAGGTGCGCTGGAGCCCTTGAGGAAAAAGTTATAGACATACCAAATGAAAGGTTCATAAATGATCAAAAAGACGTGTTACTTAACGGTTTATTGGATGAACTTGTAAGATATGAAAATCATGATGTCATTTTTATTGTTGGTAAAGAGAGAGAGAGGATTGGTGCTAGCAGATATGTGCTATCGGGTAAGTCATCGTGTATATTAAACTCCTTTAAATTTAATTTGTTTTATGATTTCTTATTTTTCAAATTCTTCTCTTTCTTTTCATAGCTGCATCACCACATTTCAAAAGAATGTTTTATGGTTTAGGCCAATCAGCAGCAACTGATGAAAAAATCGAAGTTCCATTAAGTATTGAGCCAGATACGATCAGGGTGCTTCTTCGTTGGCTATACGGGCAACCTTTTGAAGAAGCAAAAAAGTCGGTTTTAACAGGATTTTACTCAAATGATTTATCATTTCTTATCAATCTGTTAGAGGCAACTCATTTGTATCAAGTTGTTTCACTCAAAGATAAAGTAGAAGATACTATTATGGGAAGTCGACTTATTAATGTCCGTAACGCGTATAACATTTTAAAACATTCAGATAAACACAAAGCACAAGAATTAAAGAAATACTGTAGAAAGTATATTCAAGCAAATAAGGAGCTTGTTAAAGAGCAGATGATACGCGACTCAAAATCTTGAATTTTTACAGACATGTTACAAATGTTTGAGTTTTTATCGTAATTTTAAACATTGTTTTTTTTTGATAGCTTGTTGAATGTGATTTTTTCAATGTATGTAGAATTTTTTATGAGATTAAATTCCAAATAAAGGATCAATATTTCGACCGTATATATTTATTGACATTTTTAATATATTCAATGATCTAATTGATGATAAGATTCGCTGATATCTTGTTAATTTAAATACCTAACGGAAACCTTGATGCCCTCATCACAATAATACTTATCGGAACTGTCAGATTAGAAATCTCGGTGCCAATCAATTACAAAATAGTTAGAACCAATCAAATCATACATACTGTATATCAATTTTCTTTACTCTCTTTAACAATGGGAAATTACATAACATTAATTCATCTTTTTTAATAAATACCGATCTCGCAAATCTAATGAGTAATGATAAAACCGCATTAATCATTTTTTTCATGTACTGATTATTTGCTGTACAAGCCACCAAAAGTTTATGCAAGAGTATAAAGCTTAGAATTCTCTCTCAAATTTTTCATTTATCTGATTAAACAAAACTTGCATTATGTTTCGGCATCTATTTTCAAATGTTCGTAGAACCTCAACATTTTCTATTCGTAGAACCAGAACCTCAACTCCTGGTAGAACCTCAAAATTTCCAGTACTCGCAAATCTTTAACACTTCCTGGTAGAACCTCGGCATTTCCTGATTCACTCGCAGAACTTATACCGTGTTAAACCAAAAGGTTACTTACACGCTAAAAGAATTCCTAAAAGAATACGAAAGGAGAGCAAAAGAAGCTAGCGCAAGAATGGAGAAGTTTATTAATGTAAGTATTTCATTTTTTATTTCCCTTTATAAATCTGAATAAGTTTGCAAATTTAATCTAACAAATTTTGTAATTTATGAAGGTAAAATCGAAAGCCGTATCTCAAATGCTAAAAATAAGATGTTATATCTTTTGTTGGGGCCATAATTATTGACTGGACGAAAGTAATAATCGAAAAATTTTATGATAAAGAACAGAAGAATAAAGAAAGTCAAGAAAACATGTAATACATGTACGACTTTATAATACATGTATCGAATAGTTTACTTTTTATTATAAATATTATATAGTCTTCTTTTTATTACTTATATTATATTATCTAGTTTGCATTATATGTATCATTTATACTTATCAAAAAGAGTAGTATATTACTAGTTACAATTTTATATAAATAGACCTGTAAGTTGACCTTGAGTCGACAGAGTTTTGCTCAGAGATTGAGATAAGTCTTGGGGCTAGACTTATAATTCTACAATTTAATACACTTTCAACCTTCTTCTTGTCTTCATCATAAAATTGATTGAGATAACTTACTACACTAGTGAATCGTAATAATAAATTGTTTTGTTTGCTAATTGTTAATTTCTCTTAGAAAAGGCCTTTGAAATAATTGTGATCTTAAGTTATTTAGTTTTGTTAGCTTAGTTTTGAGACGATTCCAGGTCTAACAACATTTACAAATCAACTTTGCAATCTGATTTTTAAAAATTTGTTGGAAAATTAGAACCTTTGAGGAGGATTAATTGCTCAAATTTTTTTTCTTTCAATTGCTGTATTATTTTTATTGATTTTAACAAGTGATCATTTCAGATGATCAGATTAAAATAGTGAACTGCTTATAACATGACGAAATCCTATCTACAATCAGGATCTGGATTTATCAATATTATATTATTATATTTACAGTATGATAAAATAAGCGAAATATATGACATGCTTTAACAGTTAAAGAGAGATAGTACGCAGATCCTAAGCTACTAAATGCGAGTCCAAACATCATATTTTTTTATTATTTCTTTGCTCTCAAACATTATACAATTATTCAAAAGTAAAAAATCACATATTTTTCCTAAAGGCCTGTTAGTAAAATTGGGTTGCATCCAGGGTTTAATTTTAAGCATTTTATCCTAGCCTTATTTTATTTGTTTATTTGTTATACATAAATATTTCCTTATTCTTTCACCGCTATTCTTTTCTCTTAAGGTAAGTTAGTTTTCTTTTATTATTTCAACTATTTCTAACTTTATTTCTTTATTTTGCATTTTTTTTTTCTTGAAATCTTCAATTAGGTAAGTCTCATTTTGACATATTTTTTTCTGTTTTTTTTCCTTACTTTTGAACATTTTTTTTTTATCTCTTTATATATTTATTAAATTTTATTTCAATAATTTACATAATATAAAGTTAGTTGTCAGTTAATTTTTAATATATAAAAATTATAATTAAGATCTATTTTGTCATAAGAGGATCTTATAAAAATTATCACTTCAACCTTTAGTTAGCTATTATTAAAATTTATAATTTATTATAAAAAGAATTAATATCAATAATAAATAATATAATTTGTAATTTTTTTATAAATATAAAATTAATTTAATTATAAAAGTTTTTTTTGTTATATATATTTTCTTTATATTAAAAATTTTATTTACAATAATTATAATAATCTATATAATTCAGAAGATCTTTAATTTTTTTAAACAAAGTTGATTGTTAAGAAAATTAAAATTTGCTTTTTTTAGATTAAAATTAGATAATATTTAAATTATTAATTGTTAAAATAAGCTAAATAAATTTATTATTATAATTTTTTTATATATAAAATGATAATAATTAAAAAATAGGAGATTATCCAAAAAGATGCTACTATTATCTATAAATAAAAAAATAAATAAAAATACTTAATTGAAGTTTTACCTATAAAGTAATTACAGTAGAAAACTATTTAGATAAAAAGATTCTTCAAGTTATTTGTGTATTAACCTATTTTTCTATTTCTAATAATTATAAAATACAAATAAGTTAGAAGCGAGAAATAAAAATAAAACTGTTTAATATATTATTATATATTATGAAATAAACTTTTATATTATATACATATATAAAAGAAATTTTATTGAACAAGTATTTTCAAAGTTATCAGCTACTAATACTACTGATTTATTATATAATATAAGTTTTAATTAATTAATTTATTATTTAAATAATGTATTAATTTATATTTTTTTATAAAAATTTACAAAAAAAAAACAAGAATATCAGAAATTTTATTTTTTAGTTTATAGCTTAACAAATTAAAAAAAACATTAAGAGATAAAATATAAAAAAACTTTAAAATCTATTAATAATATAACAACTTTTGAGTTAATAAAATAAATAATAAAAGTAGTATCTAAAGTACTAGAATAGTTTTCTAATATTAGTAATGATTTTTACTTTTTAGAAGATATTTTATAATTGGAATCAATAAGTTTTAATATCAAAGGTAAAGATATAATATTGATTATAGAAAAGAAAATCAAGTATTAAAACATAAAAAAGAGGTTGTAATAGTAAATTCTAATAAAATATCATAAATGAGAATATTATAGAAATAGTTATTAATTCAATTAATAAAGCAGAAATTCAAAATATTAAAAAATTTTAATATTTCTCATTTTAAATCTATCACGACCTTTTATTTTGATTAAAATTTCTAAAGATAGATGTAATATTGATCAAGAATCTCAAAATATATTTAAAAGATCAGGTTTGAGTTTGCATAAAATTAGCAAAAATAATTATATAAATCTTTCTTTTTATAGACAATTTTTGATAATGCCAGTTAGGATATTATTACTTATTATAGTAATTGACTAATATTATTATAATTTCAGCCTTAAAATTTTATGTACAGTTAATAGTAAAATCTTTTTGACTCTATTTGACTTTTATATATATATTTAGGATCCTGTTAATTATAAAGTAAATATATTATATTAATATTTGCAATTTTTGATTATAAAAAAATTACTTTTTTTTAAAAATATTATTACACATTTATTTTATATCCTAGATTAGAAGAATATAATATAATAGATATAACATCTAAATTATTATGAGAAGAATTATGATAATTTAATATTAAGTAAACTATAGAGTTTTGCAAGAAAATTTGTTTACTTATTTATTATAAATTTACTTCTAATTTATTTTTATAAAAATTCATAATTTATAAGAAAATTTTTTTTATAAGGACTTATAATTAATAGAATATATTGAAAATTTGAATTTTATTTTACCTCTGGCTAGAAATTTTAATTATTTATTTAGAATTTAATTTCTAATAAGTAATTACTTTATTTCTGATATTTAATTAAAAAAAATCAGCATAACAATTTAAATTCTAATTAGATAATTTCAAAAAAATGAATAATTTGAAAAATACTTTCATTTCTTATTCAGCTCATTCAAAAAATTATTATTTATTATAATTAATATAGAAAATTATCTTATTGATGAATTGCATATTATATTAAAAATTATCAATAGATTATTAATATATAAAGTAATTGCATCTGAATATTTGATATAATATGTAAAATTATTATTAAAAAAATATATTAAATTGATATTCATTTAAGAAAAGGATTTTAATAAATAATTATATACTTCACTAATAGGTCAAGATAAACTTAAAGTATTTTAATTAAAAAATAATTTTAGATTTTATTTGAGTAAAATAATATAAAAATTATAAGATAAATTTAATAATTTATATATTACATTATACTGATTCTATAGAATTTCAATTTGCTACTAAAGTATGACTTAAATATTTATTTACTCTTTTAATTAGAAATTCTAATAATAATATTATATAATATATGCATATATTAGTTTGATATACAAAAGAATTTATAGTACAGAAGGTACCCAAAAGTTTTTGAATGATTTTTTACTTAATATAAAATGAAAAATTTTAATGTATAAATTTTTAAAACTTAATTAAACTTTACATTTTATATTAAGTAACTAATATTTAGTTACACTCTCTTCGTTAAAATCATAGCCTATATTTGTTTTAGTATACTGTTGATTAAATATTTAATCAATTGTTTTAAATTATCTTCTATTCTTTTTGAACACATTTTTCAAGTTTAGTAAGATTACTTGGCTTTTTCTTTCATTTATAAATATTTTTTTAACTTCAGCCTATAAATTTTTAATCAGTTTAAAAACTGAACTTTAAGTAAGTTAAGAAAGAATATGTAAATCCTTTTTTACATGAAATACTGCTGCAATTTTTAATTTGTAAGAAATAGCATTATTTTTCTGAAATAATATATCCTTTTAAAATATATGCTGTATTATAGATATAATATATTGTAAAATATTTTAATATATATAGCTTCAGTTACTAATTCTTATAATAGCTAGAGATTAGAATCGATTCCAATAAAATTGAATTAATTAAAAATCAAAATAAAATTATATTATAATTATAAAAAATATTAAACTATATAAAGTGAAAGTTAAATTAGATATTTAGTTATAAAATATATAAAAGAATAAAATTTTTTGATAAATATTCATATATAAACTTATTATTATTAATTACTATAAAATTATAAATTGAATTTTGCAATATATTATTTTTATTAAACTAAAGGTTTTACTCAAATAAGTTTATTATTTAAAATTTTTGCATATCAAAGAAATTAAAATAAATAATATAATTTATTTGATTTTTTTTTATAAATTATCCTTAACTCTAACCTTAATTCTAATCTTAATACTAACTTATATTATAAAACCTTTTTTTTTTAAAAAAAATATAATTTATTATTTTCTATTTTCTTAATTCTATATTTTTTATTTTTTTTATATTTTCAAATTTTTTTTAATTTAAAATTAATATTTTATTAGATTTAGTTTAATTTTTAATTTTTAATTTTTTTTTTAATTTCAGATTGATTAATTTTATTATTTTAATTGATTTTTTTTTAATTTTATCAAATTTTTTTTTTAAATGTATTCTTTTTAATCTATATTTTTAATTTTACCTTCTGTGATTTTTTAATTTTATAATGAAGAATTCTAATATTTAATATTTTTTTTAATTTTAATTTGCATATTATATCCCTTATATTTTTAATTTATAGTAATTAATTTATATTTATTAATTTATTTAAGATATTCTTAAACACTTAACTCAATAGATCAATTGATTATATTCAATTAATCAAATTAAAAATAAATTTTAGAGTTAAATCTTAAGAATGATTAAATTGATTCTCAAATTGATTCAAATATTGAAAATAATTCCAATTAAAGCTCTAAACAGTTTGGTTCAGTCTGGATTAAATGCTAATCTGTATCTGAACTGAAAATTTTGGTTCAGTTCAGTTCAGATTATTAATCTTAAAAATGCCAATCTGAATCCGAACTGAATCGCAGATCAGTAAAAATCTAAACTGAACTGGAGTTTCAGATTAATCTGAAATTATGGTTCGATTATATAAGGAATACACAATTTATATGCAAAACTCTAGGAGAATCGCAAAAAATCGTGAATTTTTCTTCAAGGTTCATAAAATTTGAAGAGAAATCACAATTTTTTATGACCCTCCAAGAATTTTGCAATAGTTTTTGCGAAATATTAAGAGAAATCGCAAAAATTGTGATTCTTCAAGGGTTTCATGATTTTTTTGCGAAATTCGAAGAGAAATCACAATTTTTTGCGACTTTTCAAGAGTTTTCTAGAGTTTCGCTAAATTTTTGTGATCCTCTTAAAGAATTCACAAATTTTGTGATCTTTCAAGAATTTCGTATATAATTGAACTGAACTAAAGATAGTCACCACAATTAAAAAAAATGGCGTAATTGAGTTGCAACTTGTGACGCAATTAAATTTCCTTATAGTGCAATTAAGTTGCAACTCAATTGAAATTTGAGAGCTTTAATTCTAATTCCTAATAGTAGTATAATTAACCTTACTTTCTATCAAGAAAAGCAGCCCTAATGCATATAGCTAGAGTTATACTAAAATACAAAAGAGTGACTATTCTTCAGCTAGTTCTTTCCATATTCTATTAATGTGACTTTATTGAAACTAGGTGAAAATTAATTCATCACTTTATAAAACTTTTACCAATAATTCTTAATCCAATTTTTTTACTATAAATATTATACAAATTATGCTGCTTTATTTGCAGGTGAAATAAGAAGCTTAAATTATATCAGTGTTGGTATTTAGCCATTTGACTATGACTATTTGGTCATTTGATTATGATTAAAATGGCCAAATTTTATTTTAAGTTTGACCAGTTAAGAAATTTTTTTTATATAATAGCTTATAAATAAAATAGAAATAGAAATATAATTGAATAATTGCAAAAAAAATTGATGCCTCTAATGTTCAGAACATTAAAATTTGCAAAAAAAAAATTGAACATTTTAAACGTCAAAGACATTAATATTTTGCTATTTATAAGAAATTTGAACATTCTAAACATTGGAAACATCAATTTTTTTTTGCAATAAATTTAATAAATTGCAATTTACAAATAAAACATGGTCAAATTGGTAAAGTCATATGATATTTGGCTGATTTAGCTGATTGGCAATTTAGTCCCATTTTAGCTGATCAGCCAAATTAACTAACAGCTAAAAATTTAGGTTTAACTGCAATTAAATGCTAACTATGTATTATGTAATATAATTTCTTAATCTAAGTAAATAAAATATATGATAGATGATATTTACAGAAATATTCTATCCTTTTTTTTCAAAGTTCTTTTACTCTAATAGTACATAATCACTGATTTTATATTTTTTTATTTGTTATCAAATATTTAAGCCTTTTACACTAATTATTATTAATTAAATATAATCTTTTAAATTAATATTTAAAATCTATAAAACCAGTTTCATTATATCATTTTAATATATCAAAAACTGTTATTTTTTTATACCTAACAGTTTTAACAATTTTTTAATATGAATCTCTGCATTGATAATAAGAAAATATTACCTCACATTATTTTATGATTAATTTATTTTTTTCTATTTTTTGTGAAGCATAGTAAAATAAATAAATCAGAAGATTTATGATGTCATATGCAAATAATATTTATTTAAATAAATTAAGTGCTGATCATCCTTTTTTATAGTTATTAATTATTAAATAAGTCATTCAAAAACTTTTAGATATTCCTTTGTAAAATATAATAAATAAAATATTAAATCTTTTTCTTATTTTATAATTAAAAAAATCATATGTAAGTATTTTTTTTTTTGTAAACTAGAAAAGTTAGAGTTAAAGCTATTAATTTTAAAGTTACAATAATTGAAATACTTGAAAAAAAATAGATTACGTTATAAATTATTTAATAATATTCCTATTATTTCTAATAAACTTTAAAAAATTTAAAGAAAATTAATTTTAAATAATTAAAGTTTAGAATAAAATTGTTAATTGAAAGTTAAATTTGTATTTTGAATCAAATTAATATAATTTCTAATAAAATTTTCTGATATTTTATTATTCTAAATTAATCTATATTTACATTTTTTAATTATTATTTAATTTTCTAAATAAATTTGTGATATATAAAATGTATAGCTATTTGATCAGCATAGTAAAAATTATTATTATTTTCACATTCTTTTTTTTCTTCTATTCAATTATAACTTTACCTCTATTATATTGAGAATTTTATCTTTTAATATTTTCATTGTATATCATTTTTTTTGCAGATATAAGCATTAAAGGATTTACTACTCCCTTTTCTTTATATTATTTATGATTTAACAATAAATTCTTTAGTTGATCTAATAAAACTAT